CGATGATAATACTAATTATCATTTCCGAGTACAGTTCCAAAAGACCCAAGAGATAGATACTGAAACCACTTACCAGGAATTCACTCCTAACCACTGCCTGTCAATGGTTTTGAATTCCAATGGTTAAAGCGATGCAATGTATAATTGCAAAAAGGTTCGCAAATAACCATAATCCACATAGTGAAACATGGTTGATCAGGCCATTTTCAACTATGAATTTCAACAACACCACACAGAGCTCTGTGATTCACTTCCAAAATTTCACATTAATCTTGTCATTTCAGTATCAATCCCATTGAACCATTGTACATGTATACGGTAACTATGTATTACAGCTAATTCCAATCTTTGCTTTACTTTACATTGTTTCAATTTCATAGAACCATAGTTTATTAATTACCATTGTTTTTGTATTTAAGCTGAATGAATTACTGTTCATGTCTTTCTGATGCTCTACTTCGTATTATTCCTATTGAACCATTGTATCAAAACATAATTAATCACTATTATTTAATATTAATGTCCTTCTAGAGCTTCTGGTGCTTTTATTTAACAGTCATAACTTATAACAAATCAACAGTTAACTTCAAATGTAACCAATAATAACTTTTAACCATTTTAGCATAAATAGCTATATCCTTAAGTATGTTTTAGCTTTGTTATCCAAGTTGGGACTGTGGTAGATTTTTGATACATCCCTAGGTGATTTGCCTTCAAAGGACTGTTGTTTAATGTAAACAGGTATTCCAAAATATCTCAGCCTTAGGGCTGGAATTTGGTGTTTAATATCATTTCTGTCACCGCCTCTATCTAATTCACTATCAGCAATTTGTTTTATTATTCTTATTTGTCTCATATTAGCATGTGGAGTTGATTTGTTGTCTTCTCCTGTACTTGCAAACATTATTTGAATTTCAGAGTCTGACATTTGTTTGTTTTGTTCCTTACTGTTAATTTACTTTTGCGTAGTTTTATTTCTTTTTGGTATTAAATGATATCATTCAAGTTCAAGGTCACTTCAAGGAAAAATGTAAACAGTTCTTTTAATCCTCTGATTCTGACACCAATTGTAAGCTAAGTCAAAAACTGTTCAAATAACAACTTTTATTGATAAAAAGTTAATTTCACAATTTCTTTATTCAACTCTGAAGAGCACTAAATTTGCTAGATCAACAATAGAAGTTTCCATGAAAATATACAAAATGCTTTTGTCACTAGTTTTCGCGACTGTCAGGATTTAAAGCCAAAATGCAAACTGAACACAGCCTGTCATGGCTACTTATATAGACTCTGAAATAGCCAGGACTGTCACAATTGACCAATCATAACATTCCATTTGGCCTGGCAGTCTGGCAGGAAAGACAGGAATTTCTTAAAATGGCAGCCATATTGACAGGAATAATTTAGAAAATGTAAATTAACAAAGTTAACAACTAACGAAATATGCAATTAACACTTGGATTACATGCTTAACTTGATGCACTTAAGATCTGGACCAAAAACAATCATGGTTATAGCTTAGAAAAATGAACTATTGATATAAAAAGATTCCAAGTGCCAGGAATTTGAATTTTCCCTCCTGACAAACTTAGAGGTCATACTGGTCATCAACATTATTATGAAATACAGCAATGCCAGCTAATTATTTGGAAAGTAACTTAGGTCTTAGGTAAATAAGGTTTACATTCTTTGTTCTTACATGTAAAATGATAAGTTTTTGTATATGTTTATGAAAATAAATGCATTTAAAGTTTTGAATCAAGGTAGACAACTCTTATCGGCCATTTTGATGCCAGGATAAACAAAGTAAGTAAATAAATCATTTCTTGAGGTATAAACCTCCTTATAGTGCCTTAAATAGTCCTAGAGCCTCAGAATGTCCTATATCATGGTCTTAATTCCTTCATTTATCAGGAAATTATCTAAACAAATAAAATCAGCAAATATGAATGGCTCAGGCAAGTTCAGGAATCCTGGCAGGTAAGTTTTAAGCATTGACTGAAAAGTATTACCTCATTTGTCAATAAATTATGCTAGTTTAATGTTCATATTGTCATAAAACATTATTTGTTTTAAACTGATAAATTCATTACAAGGTCCTGCAAGTAAACTATTTGATAAATATTCACAGTCCCTTACAATATTGTCACAAATTTACTTAATTCTCATACAGAGAAATTCTTAAACATTTGTGCACATTGAAATAAGATATATTGCATTGCTTTAGTATTTTTTGAAAATGCATAAGCATAGTTAATATTTAATAGTTAATACTGTTGAAACATTAGATTCGATGTTATTAAAAGATATGTAATATAACTGCATTTATGCAATAAAACATAGTTCATTACTGCATCTGTATTTAATTAATTATGAATTTTATCTTTAAAGGTCAGCACAACCATAAGAAGTTCTAGGAAACACTGGCAGAGGACTAAAAATGGACACCGATAAAAGAAATAGTAATTTAAATAATCAGAAACATTTAAAACAAATTTAAGATTGAATAGTTTGTCACTGACAGACTAAGAGCAAAATAATTGCTTAAAACAAAGTGTTGGATTCTAAGAAAACAAGAACCTACCAAAACCTGCAGCTAGAAAAAAACTGTTTGTGTTATAGTGAATGTACGCTGTTCTATTCTGTATTTGGACTAATGGATATGTATTAAATTTTGTGAAAGAAATATGTGATCATGTTAAACTCATAAAAATTCTACCCCAAACATTCCTGTGCTGAATTCCATCCCAGAATTTTACATTTTAAGAACATTCAGGGATGCTGGAATAAGGCTGGATTTTTTCAATGTCATTCCATCAAGGCTGGACTATTTACCATGGTAATTGGAAGAAAACATTAGTATATGAAAAATTTAACATCAGCTTCTTTTTACAATTTATGATTAAATAAGTTTATCATGGTAATTAATGCCTTTTTTTTGCATGTTATATAGGATTCAGAGACTGTTATACGTAGCAGCTCCCTTTCCAAATAGGGTTTACAGTTTTTGCAAGCCTGCGATTAAGCTTGCGCAAGCTTATACATTAAGCTTGCGCAAGCTTATACATTAAGCTTGTAGTTATACATGCACAAGCTTGCGACTTAGCCTGTGCAGGCTTGCAGATAAACCTGCGCAAGCTTGCAAATAAGCTTGCGCAAGCTTACGATTAAGCTTGCGCAAGCTTGCGATTAAGCTTGCGCAAGCTTAAATATTAACTAGTTTGCAGTCAGATTTTTTTTAAATAACTGATCGCAAGCTTGCCGCAAGGTTCCAATTACTAGCCAGTAGCAAGCTTGCAAATTAAGCTTGCAGCAAGCTTGTGACAAGCTTGCAATGTTAGCTTGCGATTTTGGTTTGGGACAGAAGGGTATATAAGCTGGGAACTTTTCTAGCTGGGTTAGTTTTGGAGTTTTTGAGGAGTTTTGGAGTGAGTTGGAGTTGGTTGAGTTGAGTTAGTTAGTAATTGCAGAAATGTATTTGTTGAAGTTGTTAAGGATTTTACTTTGGTTTTGACTGTTGATAGAGAATAAAATGATGCATTATTTTGATTTACTGCAATAAATATAATCCTGCTTTCACTTGGACTTGACTTGTTCATTTTACCAGCATAGAGAAATGGTTTACTTTTAAGCGAAAAAAGTGAATAAACAAAGCTTTTCACAAAAGTGAAATGAATTTCGTAACATTATTTTATAAAATCATTAAAATTATCTTTTTTTTTCCTTTCTAATTAAAAGTGAAATTTTGATAATAAAATCAACACACTCTTATAAGGGTTACAAGTGAAGAGGGTAGTGAGGCCAAATTTAAAGCACGAAAAATACTGCTTTATAAATTTTTCAAGTTTACGATTGTCTGTGTGTAATACACTTATGTAGATTGTAAGATCAAAAAGTACATGTCACCCATTACTCCTTTAGTTTATCAATTAGTAGGTCAACTTTTATTAGTTTGTAGCTTTGTTTTTAGACATTTTTTGATGACATGTCATTTTAGGTCAAGTTTTATCAACCCCTTGACTTTAGGCATTTAAATATGGGCCAATGTAATGACATCTAGTTCTAACCTAAATACGCCACTTGAGTTAACCACTACTGTACTTCAGAGGGTGGCCAAATAAAGGCCTTTCTCTAAATTGATAAACTTTTGTGAAAATTCTCTGTTTCACTTTGAAAAATTCTAAACATTGTACAGATGTACCTCAACAAGTTAAATCTTTAAGCATATTATTTTGACTTATCATGCATGTCATGTAAAACACCACTTGTGCAATGATACAGTCAACCCTGTATTGTGATTATAATTGTGAATTTGCCATACAGTCAGTGCATATTGCAATATCTTATTATGAAAAGCAAATACAATACAATAGGTGCTATTTGTTACATATGGAAATTAACGGAAATATAAACAAACGTAAACTTTAGACTGGAGAAGAACCAAGCTGTACTGTGCAAAATTTTCATGTGTCTAGCTTTAAAATTGTGAAATCTTCAGAGTGTCCAGTTGATTGCCCCAACCAGTTACCCTTAAATCTGCTAGGACATAAATTAATCAGCCTTTTTCACCAGGCAAGCAGTCACACAGTGATTCAGTCATTTATGGCATGTAATATGTTTGTTTGTTTCATTTTACGCCTTTTCCCAACAGTATTTCAGTCATATAGACGGGTAGTTTCCTAACCATCGTTCCTGGAGAGTTACAACAGTACCAGACTACCTTCCTCTGTGCTAAACTACCAAAGCATCTCCTGGGAATCGAACCCACGCCAGAGAGGTCACTGGATTAGAAGTCATCGACACTAACCCCTCAACCACAGAGGCGCATGTAATATGTAAATTATTACTTGAATCGTTGATATTTTTACCTATTTTTTTTATAAATCTTAGTACTTTTTAAGGTTGTTTTTCTTGAAAATATTTTATTCATCTGGAGGCATGCAACTTTAAATGTTGATGTTAACTTATTAGTAATTGATTATAGATATTAATATACATACATTTTTTGGGTTGGCATGGCAACAAAGTGGTAAATGTGCAATCATTTCCTGGTAACAGCATTCATCTCGCTCAGTACATTGTATACAGCCATCTAATACCAAAACATTCCCAAATGATGAACTGAAAAATAACAGAATTAGATCAAAACTAAGTAAGTTTATCAAGCCAAAACAAAGACAGTGGAGTAGCATGTATAAAAGCTCAGAAAGCAAAACAATAGTGCAAAAATAAAGGAAGGACTTCTCCTCCAATTGGTTGGACTAGAGTTCTGAGTCTGCAAATTTTACTCTATTAAGACTTGTTCAAGCCAGGGATTTGCTCTGTCCTCAGTCCAAATAATTGTGAAAAAAAATCCTCTAATGATTTATATTTATCATTGTGACATTTGATATGATAAAGGCATTTATTAATGTTTAAATGGTTGTATCAATTTCGATTCAACTCGTCACGTGGTCAACTCGTCACCTTTTTGGTCATCTCGTCACCCTTTCCTGTGCAATATGCCTATTATTATAATTACAAATGTATGTAATATGGATAAGATAAGGTTTATCTTGATGCAATCATAATAATATATTATATATAATACATTATCTGAAAACTTGGTTATTTTATCAACTAACAAAGAACAAATAAATCACATACCTAAATAGTTAAATAATGCCTGTCTTTAAATGGAAAATCAACAATACATGTGATAATCGTGCCAAATGTTATTAAATTAAATACATATTACCCAAATGACAAACTTTGTTTTCTATGGTGTATTGTCATCACATATGTAATAAAATAATAAAATCACAGACTCTAATTACAGTAATTAAAGTCTGTGATAAAATCCTTTATCAAATTCAATACGTTTTAAACTAGAAATGTGTCCATAGGACACGGATGCCCCCACACGCCACTGTTCTGTCAATCTTATGACTCTAGGTCAAATATTTTTTGGACTACATGTGCCACAAGTTGAAAACTAAAAATCAACAAAGGGCCATAATTCTGTCAAATTTGGTCGCAGCAAAAAATCCTTCCTTTACTACCATCTACACATTAAGGTTGTTCATCCCTGGAAGTTTAAGCAAAATCTGCCATCCGGTTTAAGAGGAGTTGTGTTCACAAAATTTCTACATAGTATATAATGAAAAAATCAACAAAGGGCCATAATTCTTTTAAATTTGGTTGCAGCAACAATTCCTTCCTTTACTACCATCTACACATTAAGGTTGTTCATCCCTTGAAGTTTAAGCAAAATCTGCCATCCGGTTTAAGAGGAGTTGCATTCACAAAATTTCTACATAGTATATAGTGAAAAAATCAACAAAGGGCCATAATTCTCTTAAATTGGGTCGCAGCAAAAATTCCTCCCTTTACTACCATCTACACATTAAGGTTGTTCATCCCTGGAAGTTTAAGCAAAATCTGCCATCCGGTTTAAGAGGAGTTGCGTTCACAAAATTTCTACATAGTATATAGTGAAAAAATCAACAAAGGGCCATAATTCTGTTAAATTTGGTCGCAGCAAAAATTCCTTCCTTTACTACCATCTACACATTAAGGTTGTTCATCCCTGGAAGTTTAAGCAAAATCTGCCAATCGGTTTAAGAGGAGTTGTGTTCACAAGATTTCGGGACAGACGGACGGATGGTAGGACGTACGTACCAAAATTTGATGTTTATGAGGCAAATGAGCTCATAAACACCACCTGGACCAACGTCCATGAGCAAAATAAGCTCATAAAAACAAAAAATAGCTCTTAATTTTCAATTTTATGAGATTATCTTCTTTATTTAACTACAGAATGAAGCTCATAATAATCAAATGTTGGCTCGGACAGACGTACGGACGGACGGACACTCGGACGGACAAGTGCAACGCTATATGCTCCCACTCTGTGAGGGCATAAAAATGTAATACCTGAGTATTATGAAAAAAACTAGAAATGTGTCCATAGGACACGGATGCCCCCACACGCCACTGTTCTGTCAATCTTATGACTCTAGGTCAAATATTTTTTGGACTACATGTGCCACAAGTTGAAAACTAAAAATCAACAAAGGGCCATAATTCTGTCAAATTTGGTCGCAGCAAAAAATCCTTCCTTTACTACCATCTACACATTAAGGTTGTTCATCCCTGGAAGTTTAAGCAAAATCTGCCATCCGGTTTAAGAGGAGTTGTGTTCACAAAATTTCTACATAGTATATAATGAAAAAAACAACAAAGGGCCATAATTCTTTTAAATTTGGTTGCAGCGAAAATTCCTTCCTTTACTACCATCTACACATTAAGTTTGTTCATCCCTTGAAGTTTAAGCAAAATCTGCCATCCGGTTTAAGAGGAGTTGCATTCACAAAATTTCTACATAGTATATAGTGAAAAAATCAACAAAGGGCCATAATTCTCTTAAAATTGGGTCGCAGCGAAAATTCCTCCCTTTACTACCATCTCACATTAAGGTTGTTCATCCCTGTGAAGTTTAAGCAAAATCTGCCATCCGGTTTAAGAGGAGTTGCGTTCACAAAATTTCTACATAGTATATAGTGAAAAAATCCACAAAGGGCCTTAATTCTGTTAAATTTGGTCGCAGCAAAAATTCCTTCCTTTACTACCATCTACACATTAAGGTTGTTCATCCTGTAAGTTTAAGCAAATCTGCCATGCGGTTTAAGAGGAGTTTACGTTCACAAAATTTCTACATAGTATATAGTGAAAAAATCAACAAAGGCCATAATTCTGTTAAATTTGGTCGCAGCAAAAATTCCTTCCTTTACTACCATCTACACATTAAGGTTGTTCATCCCTGTAAGTTTAAGCAAAATCTGCCATGCGGTTTAAGAGGAGTTGCGTTCACAAAATTTCTACATAGATCTAGTGAAAAAATCAACAAAGGGCCATAATTCTGTTAAATTTGGTCGCAGCGAAAATTCCTTCCTTTACTACCATCTACACATTAAGGTTGTTCATCCTTGTAAGTTTAAGCAAAATCTACCATCCGGTTTAAGAGGAGTTGCGTTCACAAGATTTCGGGACGTACGGACGGACTGACGGACGGACACTCGGACGGACAAGTGCAACGCTATATGCTCCCACTCTGTGGGGGCATAAAAATCTGGAATTCTGTTAATTAAATTTTGTTTTGTTACACATCTACTCGTGAGAGATTCAATACAATACTTTACATCTAGTTACCTATTAACTGCTTTTTAAATGTTTTCAAATTTATAGTGTATTACACAATATATGCACTGCAAATTATATTATTGTATGAACTTTTTAAGAAAAAAAAACAAACTCTTCCAAATTGCATGTATGAAAAAGATATACATTTTGTACATGTATGTTAGTTTAATTCCTTAATTTAACACCTCACGCAGGCGGGATTTGGAGAAGATAGAGCATATATATTTATCAGGGCAATGTGTATACTGCCAATTTCCAACAAACAATTATGAGGTTTTTAATTGACACTTTCTTTCAATATTTTGATTCAATACAATTTATGCATCGGTGTCTAACATTTTTTATTCGAACGTGATCAACATACATTACATTTACAACCAATACAAATATGTTTACAAGTGTTGTTTTTGCATTCTAAATTAAAACAATGATTTATTAATTATTAAGCAATAATCGAATAGAAGAACAAAATAATTATACAGCCATGTTATAATCAATAATCACTAGTTAGTAAAAAAAAATGTTTCAATTTGATTTAACTAATCAACGGTAACCATAGTCCTATAAATATGAGGTCGCTTTGTGATATTTTTGCTTCTGGGCAAAGCAACGTCATATCCAAATTCCTCAAAAACCCATAGAACATTCCGCCAGAAAATCAGGCGGAACGTAAAAACAATTAAGACAGAGTGTATTTACATTAATTTTGACCTATTTATGAACAAAACTGAAAAATAAATACCTTTTGACAAACTAATTAAACTGTCTCATCAGAAAAATCATCATTAAATCCTCTCATATAATTAAATTCCTTACACCGCCAAAAAACATTTGGCTGCCAAACAGTGTGCAAAATCTGATTGGCTAATTCAAATGCAACGTTTAACTGAGTCAGAATATTCGAACAGAATATTTTTTAACGAAAAAATTGCCCATGCACCGTCAGCGTGTTCCAATATATTTTTCCTTTCAAAAAATTTGGAATCAATCTGCAAAGTGCTTTACTTAACCAGTAATAGACAAAAATAGATCAATTGATGTTTATACGGGGTAGTCAAAGACTGGGACCGTGAAGCCAGCCCGACCTTTGGCTTGCCCTGCTATAGACTACACGTGTATATTTAAAAGAAAATCAAATAAAAAAACAATTAAAGAATACATATATAAAATTCTACACCTATCAATGAAATTTTCAGTGTCAGTTCTAGTTGGGCGTCGCCATTTTTAATGTAACTCAATGATAATAGACGGGGTATTCCTATAACGAAAAATAGCAACTTTTCAGATTAATAATAATAGTCAAGTATTCTGAGTGGAAACGGATCCTGGTATGGTGCATGAAAATCCGAATGACACCTTTAAAATGGAAAAAACAAACGATTTCTTAACCAACTTCCCAGTTCATAGACTTTGCCTAATTTTGTATTATTTTATTTTAAATTGATAAGTACAATGTACATGTATATTTTATATGTTGCTGTTTACATACGGTCGTTCGTCTGCTATAAGCATTGTCACGTGACTTCACCAGCAGTGAACCGCACCAGGATAAAATGGTGGAAGATATAAATAAAAGCACCAGTGACCTAAATCGGGGAGATAACTTGAAACATTTTCAGATATTCTAAAGAAATATTTTTTTACGCCAAGCATTGGTATGCGCCGAGCATTGGTCAAACCACTCTAGACGTCAGGCTTGATCCACATAAACTATAACAAGCCTGTAACGTCTGATATATTGCACTACCGTAACCTAGTCTCAATATTTCGACGGCAAGACAGACCCATTTAATAATCTGATATTTCATAGATGTCTGTCTAAGGGCGACCATCGTCTATATAAAAAAGCCCTAAAGGGCACAATTTGTTGGGCTATACCATAACCATATCGGAATATCCTTAGTGAATATTGCACGACCATTGCTGCCTAGTTCAGCAGTTGGATTAAATGGCAGTGGTGATACTGCTGACATATCTCCAATTTAATTTTAGTAAATATTTTCATTTTGCATTAATCAGAATCTTTAAAATAAAAACTTTTCAAATTATGCATTAGATCTAAATAAATTTCTAATGAAATGACAAATCAAATGATACCTTTTGAAAACGAGAATGTCTTGATATTGCGATTTTCCTTCAAATAACACTTTCTCTATCTTTAACCCTACACTGTAACCTTCCCATTGTTCATTCATTTCGCGGTACCACCCATTCTCAACTTGTGACATCTTTTTAATACTTTGAAACACGTTATTTTTGGAATTTAACTCTGTTGCTCGCTAACAACTTTGTCAATGATTTGGACGCTTGAAAATTTTAAGCGCTTCACTGATATTGATCTTTTTACAGGTGTACTTCCGTTTTGCATTTAACATTAAAGGTACAAAAAAATATTTAAAATTAAGCAAAATTTAGGGATGAATGATACAAGTTTATTACTTTAGGTAAGTTTGAAACAATTGCTAACATATTTTATTTGTATTAAAAAGAAAATATGGTTATTTATTAATTTTGAGCCTCAGAGCAGTCAACTGGCTCCATAGCTCAGTGGTTAGAGCGCCTGTCTAGTAAACAGGAGGTCGTGGGTTCGATCCCCACTGGAGCCTTTTTTGGTTTATGCAAAAGTGATACAAGAATTATTTATCATTCACCTTGTGATGTCTTAAAGGTCCAGTCTCCATTTGATTATTTTCAACCTTAAACCTCTTTTATTTGGTATCCTGTACATTATATAGTTTCCAAAAGGACAGGCTACATTTAGCTAACTCTAGCCAATTATTTGAACACTCTTTTGTGTTTGTTTTATTTTTTTTGCAATCAGTACAGATCTAGTTATTAGTATTTTGTATGGAAGTCAAAATAATACTTTGTTTACATTTTGCTACATGAAAACAAATATTTTCACATTCAGCGCTGTATATATTTTGTTATTTTTTATGCGTCTATATCATGCACCTATATAAGCATTATGTAAACATAATAAAAAATTTGTTTGCCATTTCTAAAGGATGTAAAACATGTTTCTGAGGCATTATACGTGCATGCCTGTTGTTATGTCACTTAACTTTACACCTATCAAGGAGAAGAAATTATATTTATTGTGTTCTTTTATGTGTAAAATTCTGTCTCCTTGGTATATTTTGCCACGAAAAGGCAAATATGCAGTTATAAATAGTGAAGTGCAACAGTAATTTAACAACGGACTTTAATTAAGGCAAATATGCAGTAATAAGTAGTGAAGTGCAAAGTTTTGCTTAATTTATCATTACACGGACTTTAAAGGCCAATTTTGCCTCAGAAATTCTATCATTTTTATTCCTCAAAACCTTTTTATTTTTGGTATCTTGTTACAGTTACAAAAAAATACTCATTTACCATATAATTGAACCTTCTTTGCTTATTTTGTAGCCTGGGTTCCAGTCTGTCGATTTTTTGTTATGTTTCTGTTTGGCAAATCGACACTGCATGATACTATCAAAACGAAGAACTAATACGGAATAGCGCATATGTTATGAATAAAAAAAAAAAGATAAATAAGCAAAAACTATCAACGCCTGAATCCTAGGCTACTTCTTTTGCTATTAATTATAGTGAATTAGTATTTTGTATATAGGTCAAAATACTACTTTGTTTACATTTTGGTACATTTAGGACACAATTACTGCATGTTCAGCGCTACTTTCCTCAGCCATGCTCTAAATCTATTATTAAAATATAATTAAACACATGTTTGACATTAAAAAAAATATATATATGGATTTCTGAGGCATAATTTGCCTTTAATCATGCCTTTAATTAAAGCCCGTGATTTATCGAAAATGAAATTCGGTAAATGTTCACGGATTTGTTCACATCACTTATTTAATTAAGAAATAAGATTTGTTTTGATTTGTTTTTTTAGAGAGCGAGTCTGTAATTGATATGCATTTTTCTATCATTTGCAGATATGATTTATTTTACACAAATTTAGTTATTTTATATACGAACAATGTGTATTGAAACGAACAATGTGTATTGAATCGCTTTTAAATGACAAAATGTACGGGATTTTCACAGGTGCAAATACAATTTGCTGGTGGGAAATATAAAATATCACTATTTTTCACAGTAGATGTCTGATACTGTAACCATATAACTCGGTCCAGTTCCGTTTGTAAGTCATAATGTAGTTATAACGAATCATTCGCAAAAAATCGGAAGAGATCCATTCACGGTGTGACCTCATGTGTCAGATGACGAGACTGAAAATATTTGTTTCCAGATTCGTGTACCAAATCAAGCTAAGAATCGCACAAAAATAGATATTTAATAACATGTAATTCTGAGTATAATTCGTTATTATTCTTGGCAGATTTTTTCATTTTAAGTGCTTTACTTAATTGGTATGTGTAAAATTTCAATTTGTTTTTAGGCTTTATAACCTTATAGCAGCTCTTTTATAATATCAAAGGGATTTTATGCACGCTTTTTCCATGACATTTCCTACATGCGTAATTGAAATACCTTGAATTCCTCACAATATTAAATGTTTATCTTCTATGGTCAATGGGTATATTCTTAAATGTTTACCTCCTTTTTCTATGGTCATTCTTTGAATGGAAAAAAGATAGATTTAAAGAGATTTCGCAAGTATTTATATATGCTTTAAGAAAGCATGTATTTCTAGGTTTAACTTGCGGGTGATATGTGTTTAAAAGGTCTGGGTTGTAGTGCCATCGAACTCAAACCAGGATCTGAACGTGTGGTGCTGCCGTCGAAATCTAACCAGGATCTGAACGTGTGGTGCTGCCGTCGAAATCTAACCAGGATCTGAACGTGTGGTGCTGCCATCGAACTCGAACCAGGATCTGAACGTGTGGTGCTGCCGTCGAACTCGAACCAGGATCTGAACGTGTGGTGCTGCCGTCGAAATCTAACCAGGATCTGAACGTGTGGTGCTGCCGTCGAAATCTAACCAGGATCTGAACGTGTGGTGCTGCCGTCGAAATCTAACCAGGATCTGAACGTGTGGTGCTGCCGTCGAAATCTAACCAGGATCTGAACTTGTGATTATGTCGCCGAAATCTAACGAGTCTCTTAAGTCAGTAACGGAATTAGGCCCAGGCCTCAATGCTGCTGCTCTTTCCTCCCTGAATATTTTTGTGTCAGTTTCATGCATTATCTAGTCATCTAACCAATCAAGAACATCAACAATATTTCTAATCAACTCTCACGTTTTTGGGTTTGCAATTAGAAAAATCAAAATTTGGTCATTTACATATACCATAAAAAGAAACCAAGGTTTCGAGCGGGGAATTTAATCTTATATGGGAAGAAAAAATATCAGTTTCATGCATTATCTAGTCATCTAACCAATCAAGAACATCAACACAATTTCTAATCGACTCTCACGTTTTGGGGTTTGCAATTAGAAAAATCAAAATTCGGTCATTTATATAGATCTATACCATAAAAAGGAACCAAGGTTTCGAGTTGGGAATTTAATTTTATATGGGAAGGAAAAACTATCAAATTCATTTTTTTCTTCGTTTATTCAAAATTCTTATTTCTTTTGATCATGTAACAAATAGAGTTATTATATACATTTTTATATCGAACTCGACCGTTATGTTAAAATATCATGGCCTTGGACTGAATAAGATAACTGTGACATTGACAGAGTGTTACTCTCCTGCCTAGGGGGCACAGCAGAGATCTTGCTTGAATAAATTGAAAGTCGAAACGGCATATTTGATTGGCTTAATTATTACTTTCCAAACGTCAAATTTCCAAATAGTGCCAAATAGATGTGTAAGCCTTGATCAGTCACAAATAAACGTCGTCTATTTCTCCAAAAACTCGCAATATCGACCGGCGGTCGTCTGGCAGCAGTGACAATCGGAGGCAGCAGCTGAAAATTTTGTTCATCGGGCGGGCCCCATCGAGTTATATAAGTTATACAACTTAAAAGCTAACGGCGTCCGGGCGATAATTTTTGGGGTCAGTGAGTTAAAGAAATCATCGGGCGGATACTGTCCGGCCGACGGGCGGTTCCCGGGGGATTTTTTTTTGGATCGGGCAATTAATGCAAAATATCACCTTCCGATTTAAAGACATCCGGGCGGACATCTCCCGGGTCTCGCCCGGCGCCCGAATAGACACCAGTTGGCGAACGATTATCGCCCAGTACCCGGACGTTTCATGAGCAGGCACCGGATGGTCATCGGTTTGCAGTCCGGCGACCGGGCGGCTTGAGTTCCTTGTAATTGCGCCTTGAGTTTGTTGTTATTGTCTCAAAAATGCTTTTTTTGTGAATTCCATTGGATTTAACATGGACTTTCTCTTCATGCAAGGATTTCTACGCGGATTATTCTTATTATAGGCAGAATATAATTGTTGCAGCACGCTAGCAGCATTATATGACGAGGGTCAGCACATAGGTGGCCGTAGGAGAGGCCTGTGTAGGTGAAGCCACAGCTGCAGAGAAGGATTACCTATGCCTCTAGCAACTGCATTCTTTGCTTGGCTGATTTATAAAAGAATATCATAATATATCAAGCTTTTACAGCCCGGCTCCCTCGACCGTACACTGTTTTCTCTGTGAGTGTGTGTGTGTGTGTGTTTGTGCGTGTGTGCTTGCGTGCGTGCGTGTGTGGTTTTTGTTGTTGGTGTTTTTTGTCAATGGGTAAAATTCGATGCATTTATTAACCTTGGCCTACATTATTTTATACTATCTTATGATTATTTCTGATAATCTTTAAAAGAAAAAAAATAACAAGAGGGCCATAATGGGCCTGAAATCGATCACCTGAATACAAAACTCTCCATGACAAGGAACAAGTAACATTGTAATCTATAAACAGAAACAGATATAAAATCTTAATCTTAAACTGATAGAAAAAAGTTCATATTTGTATCTGAAATAGTGCATGAGTAAAATCTTTACTGGTCGCTATTGCTAAGGGAAAACAACAGTTCCAAAAGATATGTACATATAAGAAAACATCATTGTCCCCCCCGGGCGGGGCCAATTTTGACCCGAGGGCATTTATTTAAACAAACTTGGTAAACACTCATATCTAGGCTCTATCTTTTGTTTTTTTTTTAAGAAGATTTTTTACTATATACACATAAGGAAAATCAATGTACCCAGAGTCGGACCAATTTTAACTCCAGGGCTTTTATTCAAACAAACTTGGTAGACACCCATTAGAAGATGTTTTGTGTTTAATATCTAAGCTCTAGCTTTTTGGGGAGTATTTAGATTATTTAAATTTTTATTAAATTTTTTACATATAAGGAAAATCAATGACCCCCCGGACGGTATCAATTTTGACCCTAGAACTTTTATTTGAACAAACTTGGTAGCCATCTACTAGAAGATGTTTATGTCCTATATGTAAGCTCTAGCTCTTTGGTTTTCTTTAAAAAAAGATTATTTATAGTTGTTTTTCTTTCGGTTGCCATGGCAACCAGAGAGTTCTGCATGAAATTAAAATCTTTGAACAAATTTTGAAGTTGACCACCAAAGGAATATTCCTGTGAAGTTTGGATGAAATTGACTCATTGGTTTAGGAGGAGATGTCGTTTAAATATAAGTAAAAGTTTACGGAAGGATGGACACCGGACGAATTTTGATCACAAAATCTCACCTTGCCACTTTGTAACAGGTGAGCTTAAAAGTCAAGAGACAAGGTATAGAACGGGAAACAACTCACGTGCGAGTACATGATACCTCTTATCTGTTTTTCATTTAAGCGGACAAACAGTTAAGTATAGTTTTATTATAGCAGCCATAACAATTTATAGTTTAAATTACGATATATATTAAATTAACTTATTTACTCCGTCATTAAACTTCCTGTCTCATGGTGAAAAAAAATCATGCTGTACAACTTCTTCTTTTTTAAATCTTTAACATACCCGAATTTCATAAATTAAAAGCAATGGAAGCATGTAAACTGGTGTCGATGTCTTTTTGTAAACAGCTAATTTGACACAGTTTTCTTAAAATGTATACATTGCAATAATAGACCTACGTGCAGGGTGTCATGCCATAGCGAATAAGATGCTCTCTTTTTCTTCTGCTGTTATTTAAAGGTTTAAATTTTAAAAGATACTCTGCTGAAGTAAAACGGGTTAACATGCACAATTATGTTATTTCTAAGTATTCAATACAAAAGGAAATGTTAGCAATGCTTGCATAACAATGACATAATAGTTATTTCTTGTAGCTAAAGGAAATACCAATTTTGTAAGCATTGAAATCAAATTATAGCATATCTATATTGATGATTATTCAAATTAGGACAACTTCTATTTTAGGTGTCCCTTTTACTTGTTTTACGTTTGACTTTAAAAATTTTGTAATCATTGACAAATTAACCAAAAATTTAAGAACTATCCTCATTCCTGTACATTTTATTTTAGAATTATCCATTACATTTAATTTTACAGTGGCAAAATTATCCCTTACATTTCATTTTAACATTTTATTTTAAAGCTATCCTTAAAATTTTTATCTTAGAATGGTAAGAAATATTCTTTACATTTTCCTGTAGATTGGTTAGAACTATCCTTTCCAATTTTTTTAAGAATGACCAATGAGATTTACCGATTTCGGTCTATAATTTTAAAATGACCAATGAAAATCCTTTTCATACTCAGTCCTTTCCCTGTTTATTTAACAGGAAGTTAAACTGATAACAGACGCAATTCTTCCGAAAAAAAAAATCTGACAACTCTGAATATATGCATGTTTATTTCTTACGAACTATAAAATCAAAAACTTGCGAAAGCTTTAAAATGACCTGCTTGTTCGTGTGTAATGATATAGTAACATAAACATAAGCTGTAATGTTGAGTAAAGACGGGGATTACCCTAGAACATGAAACTGATACTTTTTGAGCAGACGGCTCGATAGTTGTAATAGTTGAATAACAAAACTATGGCATGCACGCTTTAAAAATAAAACATTATAATTTGTGTTTACATTACACGCCAATCGGACTGGGTGAATGTTTTTTTAAAGGAATGAGTAACTATATCTTAAATTTTCGTTTTGTTATAATTATATTCCATTAATGTTTTGAACGTCTCTATTAGGACGGTGCCTGGAATGATTTGTGCTAGTTAATTAGAAATTATGGATATGTACGTGTGATGGAATATTCACTAATAACCCTACAATAGTCATGATGGTGCGCTTGAGTAGCTTTTTGTCATTCTTTGCTTTGACCTGATCGATTATTGTCTCAAAACAACATCAGTATATATTGAAGGATCTAGACGGGGACTTGGTGTAGGCCGTTGTTTTGAAATTGGCGTTTACATTGTTTAACGGTAAGCTGATATTTATATTCATCTTCTCAATTGGCGTATGTTTGATAACACAAAGATTAAAAGACAGTTTACACCGATAAACAGAAAATAAAGAAAATATCTATAAAGTTGTCGGTTCCGCGTAGTAGCGTGTACTTACCAGTCTATTCATAGGTCAAGGTCAAAAGTAGCGCGTACAAGTTATTTCCGCCAGACGGATATTTCCTACTCAGCGCTGATCTTGTCGACGATCAACAAATATGTGCATATAAAGTACATTATATTTCCCTTATGTTATTTTAATTAACAAAAGCATATTTAATGGATGGCTTTGTAATAGTCCACTCTGGTAGTTTTGGATAAAAATCTTAATGCAATATGCCTATCAAATGTCATTATATCGACTGAAGCGCATTACAAAATGTTTTTAAAATTTAAATTCCTTACTTAAGGAACGGATCGATAAAAATGGAAGAGATGTGGAATAAAAAATGGGAGAGAGCTTAAATGTTGGTAATTAATAAATGTTATTTGCTTGTATAGGAATGTTAAAGATTGCACGTTGTGACTCAGAGACGAATATATTTTTGGCGACGCCGGTGAGCGGCGTCGTCTTATATGGAATGCTTTTTATTTTTGCCTATGGAAGGAGCTGTTATTATTAGCAGTTAATTTCATGTTGAGTTAATTAGATTTATTTTGATTCGTAAAAATCAAGTAAACAAATATGTTGTTATATTTGTATTTAATAACTTTATATAAAAAGCATGTGCATTGTGATATTATTTTCACGAAATTGCAGGCTCAGTTTAACAGCTTGTCCCTTAGTTTTATTGACAATACTAAAACCCGGATTTCGAATATCGTTGTGGTCTACATTGATGCTGTATCCGTTCGTTCATTCATTTATATATTTTCAAAATTTTCTTACAAGAAGAAAGTTCACCTGCAAATGAGTATAAGGATAGGTAATGGACTGTTGTTAACGATTATCCTATTGATTTTATCCATATTACGTTGATCTGTTGCACAGAATGGTTGTTTTTACAAAGTGTACCAGTATCCGGATGTTGAAAGCTATCCGATTTTCTGCAATAACTGCTGTCACATGGTCATCTATTTTTTTATGAATACTTTACCATTAATTTGCATGGCTTAATAAAACTTACTGAGCCTGCAACATTTCGTCATTTTAATGTTAAGGGTGTTCTTTTGGGTTTCAGGTTTTCTCTATTTTAAGGGGAAGTAACTCATGTTTACTAAATTATTTGTTCTTTTCTGTCTACTCTATCTTTAGTATTACTTACTATTTTTTGTTTTTTATAAAATTTACCAGTTGTAAGGTCATCAAAAGCAGAGAGGCCCTGATGAGTGAATATTGATATATATTTTTACTGGCTTGATATACCCTAGGACAGATTTTTCTAGTTTGTTCAGTTGGTACATACCTATAGGTATTCTGCTAGAGGCATCTTCTAATCACTATGTGAAATTATTATTTTCTATGTGTTTGTATATGAATTGTTACTAAAATAACCTTTGGTAAAAATGAAAGGTAGAATATTTAAGCTATACATATAGGTGCTCATTTTAAACACTTGATTACATTATATGCAGTTAGTTATACATTGTATAGTAAAGTCTAACGGAAGGTTAAAAGAGGGACAGTATTTGTTACTGTAAAAGATATGCATTTAATGTTTAGACACTAACACAACTTAATCTGTATCACATGATATAGACTATTTATATTATATATATAGTATTTGAGATTTTTTTTACTTTTATACATGTACTATACAATATCATGTACATTACAGTATAGTTTTCTTTCTACAAGATTATGAATTCCTGTTAATAGGATGTTATATTTATTTTTAATGGAACCTGAGAATTATTAATGTAATGTGCATACAAGTGTATCATAGTATATGGATATAATGTGTATTTCTGTATTTAAAGACTTACAGTTATGATGGATGATACTTGCATTTAAATTTATAAATGATAATACATGTATTGATCAGTCTACAGGTTAAAGTTGTTTATACCCAGTGTTAGCTGGCTAATAATAGTATCTATAACAGAGTTTATATATTCTACTAGATTTTGAATTCCATCCATTAGTACCAATGTTAATGTTAGGATTTCATATTTATTTAATAGAAACTGGGAATTATTAATGTTATGTGCATACATGTATATCTTAGTATATTGATATGATGAGACTTATAATATTTCTGAATTTAAATAGTTACAGTTATGTCATTATTATTAAAGGGATGAGACTTTCATTTAAAGTTATAAATGATAATACATGTATTGATTGAAAATGTCCTGAAACTTGGATCAAGCAATATAATTGATAAAGTCTCAAAAAATCATATTTTGAATGGTTATTCTAATTTTTTTCTAACATGTGCATAGATTGAAAAGGACAGCTCCTGTCTTATCTATTTGTAATGGAGGGACACCGGTCTCAATTTCCAAGCTTAGGTCTCCTGAGTCAACCCGACAACAGACTTTTCATAGAGTAGATTGTTATTTGCCCTTGAATAAATTTGTACACTAAATTTTATAGCGGGTGATTTTTGCCACATGAAAACCAACAAAGTACAAAAAAGTAACCGGGCGCCAGACACAAAGTGGTGTGTTTGTTGCATTTTCGTGTTTTCGCCCAGTGCCCTTGATGCAAAATACAAATCAGCCTTCATAAAATTTCTTATCATACAAAAAAGGTTAGTTTTTTATCCGTACAAAAAATAGATATTGTACATGTATTAGCACAGTTATGTTCACTTTCAAATTGACCTGTTATAAATAATGGCACAACCAATAGTTTACTGTCTAAGCCCTTTTTAGTAAAAATAATTATACATAATAAATAAATTGTTATTTTAATTTAGACTATGAGTATGTAAGGTTTTTATTTCTTATTTATTAATTAAGAATTAATTATCTGTTAATTTAAAAATCTAAATATCTGTCACGGTTTAGAACTGTTCACTATTTTAAGGCCAGAAAATGTGTAAGCGGCCAGATAGTCCAATCGCTTACAGCCGCGGTACATTATTCTGTGGGTCACAGGTTTGTGTTCTGGTCAAGCTGAAAGTTTTTCTCATCCAGTGACTGCATATAACCATGAGTTTAATTCACTATGCTCTGTAAACATCAGAAATTCAAGGACATAAACCAATAGAGTGGGGAAATATGTTGTGGTTTAGAACTATTTCATTATTAAAGAGAAAATGTCTAGCCGGCCGGATAGCTCAGTTGGTCTTCTGAAAGTCATGGGTTCGATGTCATGGTCAGGCAGTTTAAGTCAGGGTTTAGAAGTGGTTTTTCAACTGACACATGTTTGATTCATTTAATAGATTGTATTTTATTTGAAATGGACAAAGGCAGTATTGCATGATACTTTTAGATCTACAAAAAGCATTTGATACAGTTGATCACACTATACTGCACATGAAGAAGTTCTTTTTCTTCTTCTTCATGGAACTTCAAGCATCTGCCATATGTAATGACATTCTTACATGGTTCAAGTCTTATCTCTGATAGCAGCTGGTTGATGTGGCTGGTACTCCTACTACTGCTCTGAGTACCTATGGTGTCCCCCTGATGTTCATTTTAGGTCCTCTTTTATGTCTAATATATGTCAATGACATGTCTGCAACCTGAGCAATAAGCTTTTATTATATGCACAGGCACAAGTATCAGACCTGGGAAGAAAAAATATGACCAGATTGATAAAAAAACTTGTGTTCGTCTTAAGATTGTCACAAACCAAAAAATGTAAATAATGACCCCCTTTAAAAATATACTTTAAGTTAATAGTATATTTTTAAAGGGGGTCATTATTTACATTTTTTTTTTTTTTTTTTTTTTTTGGTTTTTGACACTTTTAAGATGAACACAGTTTTTTTTATCAATCTGGTCATACTTTTTCTTCCCAGGTCCAATACTCGTGCCTGTGATTATATGATGATGACTCAGGTATCCTTGTATCTGGTAAAATAAATCGTAAGATTAGTTAATTGACTATAAATTGTCTTTGCATCTTGGCAAGACAGAGTCTTTTCTTTTTGGTTTAAGTTTCAACTTAAACTGGGCCTAGCCTCCAGGTCACATGAAATGGTACTGCTATAAAGTACACATCTTTTGTTAAGTATTTAGGTGCAAACTGGATCAAATTCTTTTGGCGTCGCCCTTTGATGCTTTGCATCAATGCTTTTCTTGTATTACTTTAGAAGGAGCAAACACGAGTTTTATAACGTTGATATAGTGGTTTAGAACCTGTTAGAGGATTGTAACCTGGAGAAAGTAGCGCTAAATGTAAAGTTAATTGTCATAAAAGTAGAAAAAAAATAGAATTTTGACTTTTATACAAAATACTATTCACTATAGATGCGCTAACTGCTCAGAAGCAACAGAAGAAAAAGATGGTTTAGGTAATTGGCCAAAGAGTAACTTTGTAACTATAACCTTGGATAAGAATTAAATTAAAGCTATTTCTGGGGCATAGTGTGTTTTTATTTATATGTTTTCTCACACATGAAACTATTTTTTTCTACATTGCAGAGCCATACAACGATGTGCAAATAATATAGACAAATAGAAATAAGAAAAGGGAGATAAAAAGTCTCTCTGAAGTGTGATATCGTTTTGTGCAGAATCATCATGGCATCTGTACAAAAGCCAGTCTTGTCCGAAATGAAGTTCCAAAACTGGATAAAAAATGGTGTTGTTTTAGTACTAACGAAAGAAGGACTACAGGATATTGTTGCAAATGAAATAACAAATTTTCATGATGAACTTTATCGTGACAAAACTACAAAAACAAAAATAACAACACCTTGTAAGACTTGCTTGACAGAAAATGTCGTAAAATGTTCTTCCAAGAATAAGATCTGTAGATTCTATCAACGGAAATGTGTTAACGTCCATAAAACATGTCCTTTGGGTGTATGCCAAAACGTGAGAGATGGTATTGAAGATGCACACAGATTTAACCGACCCTCGTGGAAGAATACCGATGCCCGGCAATGGTCTGACGCACCTTGGCAGATAGCCAAATGTTTCATGTCCACTGATGGTTATGATTCTTCACTTTCGGCTGCAGGAACCGATTTTAATGGCATCATCAATGTGATAATAAATTGTAAAATGTTTGACAGCAAGGTACAGACAGATTTATCAAACAACAACAATATTTTCTGCAAGGTAACTTTACATTTTTAGCTCAACTATACGAAATATATGGAGAGCTGTCCTACTCGCCCCGGCATCGGCGTCCAGATTTCAGATTAAAGTTTTGGTGCAGTAAAATATTTTTCACTATAACTTTTTCATTTCTTAAGGTGTCAATTCAAACTTCAAATATATGCACCTTATCATCAACCACATCTTATGTGACAAGGTTCATAACTCTTGCACCAAAATTTGATGTGTGGTTCCTCTCTTCTGATAAGTGGCATCCGTGGCCGAGTAGTTAAGGTCTTTGACTTTAAACCACTAGCCCCTTACCGCTTTGGGTTCAAATCCCGCCTTGCACTTTCGATTCTTGTGAGGAAGCTATCCAGCTAGCTTACGGAACGTCGATGGTTCTACTCAGGTGCCCGTTCGTGCCTTGAATAATGCACGGAAGGTACCTGGTGTCTTCATCCACCAGCTAAACTGTAACGCCGCCATATGACCTATACTGTGTCGGTGTGACGTAAAACCCAATAAAAACAAAACAAACTCTTCTGATTATTTAAGTACAATTGAGAAGCCGCTAAAGCTAATCATAGCAATATAAATAAACATCTCGGGACTTGTAGCATCCATAGATGGTCCTTTAGAAATAATTTGTCGGTACTTGTTAGGGGCATCGAATGCGAAAACATTATTATTATATTAACAACTTCTCATTGTGTTTGTAGTTTTCTTTTATGATCCACTTTCAAGTTTGCACAAATAGATTTCATTAGTCTGTTTAAAGGGATCCCAAAAAAAGCATGTTCTTGTATGAGTCATGAGTGATTATTGTCAAATGTATGCACACTAATTTCGGTGGGACCCATGAGATTGTTTAAATGTAAAAAAAATGCTTTTTCTCACAAACAAGCGGTTGTTTAACGGGTAATCCTCAACTATTATTTGTACTGAGGAAATCATTTAAACTGAATCATATTGTAGACCACTGATGTAGATGAGCAACTGATTTCCATCATTCTCGTGCCTTTTTTTCTTTTCGAAGGTAGCAATGTAAAAATGTTTGCTTGAATTGTTTTTTAGTCTTCTTCTTTTCGTTTTCTAGGCTAGAGCAATAGGTAATAAACATAGACATCATCATGGCTATGAACTTTCGAATAAGGAATTCCAAGACAACATCAGCATACTTATTCAGGTATTGGAGGACTTTGTACAAAGTAACAAAAAAGCTGAGTCAGCCATAAAGAGCATCAGAGAGGTAAATATTACACGGCAAGTGATATTCATAATATCATTTTCTATACTGCTACGAGTATTTATTTTACTTTTATAAAATGTATTTTGGTTTACAAGTTTGACATGTTGGGCTTTCTTTAGCGATTCTTATTTTCTCTATTTTAATGCCACATCAGCGTTGTTTGTGCCGTATGTAGGCTGTAAATAGTCGCCCGGTACATTATATTTTCAATACTTGAAGATCTTTAAGCACGACAAATTGTTGTGTTTGTGGTACATTTTAGTTCTTATTTTTCGGCATTTTTCTACTTGAGTGGTTCCAATATTCCTACTTGAATAAAGTTGGATACTCTTAGGCTATGTTGCCTGCTTTTGACGTCTTATCTGTGATATGCAGGCTTCATAACCTCTGATCCCCTTTCAAAATTCCATTTTGTTTAGTTCCGCCCGTTGTTTTCTCGTTTAGGGCAAACGCTTCCTCTCACTTGGGGGTCGTACGCCGCTTTTCATTGGATGGCACAGATGTTTCTATATTCTAAATTTTACCTTTTTGTGTTTAAATGTTATATTCTGCTAAAGCCGGTGCTAGCGGGCGAGGACGGTAGTTTGCACTTGACAGTACCGTCCATGAACAGGCTCAATTAAACCGAGCATGCTACATTTCCAATTTTGCCGTTTCGGGCTTCTTTGGGGATTCTTATTGTCTCCATTTTATATGTATAGCAGATAATATATTGTTCTTGAACAAAATATCATTATTCATCATATAAATGTTCATACTAACTCATTTGGAACTATATCAACATATTTTTTCCAAGAAATAAATATAATTATATCCGAATGATAAATTTCTGTGGGTTTTATCCTCCGTTGAAATGCTTATCTAAAATGTAACCATTGTATACCAATTCACTTAAAAATATTTAAAATTATTTCTAATATAATGGCGGCAAATAAGAGTTAGGTCATGGAAGCTGATTTGAGAGTGTCTTCTATTTATATAAGCAAGTTATAAATTTTTTATCTAGTATTGCAAATCTCTTTATTTATTTTAGCTCAGTTCTGACTCATGGACCATAACAGATACTAGCAGAGATATCACAAAGTATCTTCAGGACGCTATAGACGAGGCTAAAGAAAGTATCGACAAGTCAAAGCAAAATCTCTTGGATGCGGCAAAGCAATCTATCAAATCGAATGCACAGGAAGGTATCAGTGAAGTTTTAGGGGAGCTTCGACAACTTTTCTCTAAACACAAAAGTGAAATAGAACATGCAGTAAGACGTGGTATCAAGAGAATAAGAACAGAATCTGAATCGGCGCTTGAAGAATTGCAAAAGAAACAAAAACAGGACAATGTCGTTTACACGAAACAAAAAGACGGTGGGTAAATTTAAGTAGCTAAAAAAGTGATTATATCTCTATCGATACATTTTTATCATATTCAAAATTTTTGTCATGTCTTTGTAGATCGTTCAGCTCGGCATTATTGTTGTGTATACATGTTAAATGGTATATTTATTTTCTTCTGTTCGGCTTTTTTCAACTTAGGCACTGGTTCCAGTTTTCCTACTTGAATACTTTATAATCTTCAGGATATACAGTCTGCTTTTTTATTTGTGTTTATGACGTCATGTCTGTGATATGCAGGCTTTAGGGCACACGCTTTTTATTACTTGGGGACCATACGCCGCTTTTCATGGAATGACACGGAAGTGTCACATTGAAGGTTCCATGATAACCGCCGTATGAAAACATCTGCGGATGTTTCTTAATTCAAAACTTTACTATTTCATGTTTAAATGTTGAATTCTGCTTAAGCCGGTGCTAGGGGGCGTGGTCGGTAACTTGCACTTTCCAGTGCCGCACTTTCCAGTGCCGTCCATGGACGGGCTCAATCAAACCGAGCCTGCAACATTTTCAATTTTGCCGTGTGGGCTTTCTTTAGGGATTCTATATTTATCTTTTTTACAAATCCGCTGTCTGTTATACATTTATTGACAAGATCATGTGCCGCTTTGTCTGTCTGTCTGGATGGCCGTCCGCACTCACAGGAAAGTAATTATGTGGCTAGAGGGACAATAGGTAACTGTTCTTTCCCTTTGATGTCATTCATTCCGTAATGCTTTTATGTGGCTATTTTCTTTTGTGTGGCTCAAAAGAACAATAGATAGAACAATAGAGTAGTCACATAATTACTGTCTGTGAGAACGTCCGTCTGTCCCTCTGTCCGTCCGTTTGATTTTATGTGTTAGACTACAAGAGGTATCAACAAGAAACTTTGTAGGTAGATAGACCTCATTGAGTAGGAGTGCAGTGCAAAATAACCATAACTCTTCCTTAATTTTGGAGTAACTGCTCTTTGCTCATTTTACACTTTGAAATAGATAAATACAGAATCCCTAAAGAAAGCCCAACACGGCAAAATTGAAAATGTTGCAGGCTCGGTTTGATGATCCTCTTCATGGACGATACCGCAAGTTACCGTCCACGCCCCCGAGCACCGGCTTAAGCAGAATTCAACATTTAAACGTGAAATAGTAAAATTTTGAATTTAGAAACATCCGCAGATGTGTTCATACGGCGGTTATCATGGAACCTTCAATGTGACACTTCCGTGCCATTCCATGAAAAGCGGCGTATGGTCCCCAAGTAATAAAAAGTGTGTGCCCTAAACGAGAAAACCATGGGCGGAACTAAATAAAATGGAATTTTGAAAGGGGATCAGAGGTTATGAAGCCTGCGTATCACAGACAAGACGTCAAAAGACAACTTTGTCCGGGACATAACTCTGATACCTTTTGTATATCATGACAATGTCTTTACTAAATGTAATTGTTTATTTCAGATATCCGCAACCGTTTGATTCAAACATATAAACACCAGTGTTCTAATCTCCCAATTTCTTCTCTTCTGGAAGAGGAAAAATTACCCTTACTAACATTCTATGTGAAGCCATATATGCGACAGTTAGATCATCACAAAATTCAGAAGGAAGAGAAACCTGTTAAAACATACAACAACGTATTTCATAAACATGGTAAAACGTGCAGGAGTATATACGTGACTGGCGATGCTGGCATAGGAAAAACTGCATTTTGTCAGAGACTTGCATTGCTTTGGAGTCTTGCTAAAGTTCATCCAAAGCTAGACATTGAGGACGAATCTGTTAGGGAAGACGCTGAAATCATTGGTGACTTTGATTTCCTGTTTTACATATCTTTGAGAGATACCTCTTTTTGCCATATAGAAGACATTATTCAACATCAATTGATGGGTACTTTAGATAGAAAAGAAGTTCTCTTGGAAATTCTTAACACAGAAAAATGCATCGTTGTGTTGGATGGACTTGATGAATGGACACACCCATTAGAAAGAAAACACTGTCCAGGAAATATTAAAATTCCACACAGGCCTGCAGTAGAAAAATGTGTTTATCTGACAACCAGTAGACCATACAAACTTGAACATTTGCGATTAAGTACGCATGAAATCGACCAGCAGATAGAAATTTTACCAATGGAAGAAGGTGTTGGATTCACATTTGTTGAACTTTTAATCGATTGCTTGAATGAGAAATGTGGTGTTCAAAAAGATCCTGAGGAATTCATTAAAAATGTTGCTGAAAACAAACTTGAAGATCTATTGGATGTACCTCTGCTTACTACTCACCTTGTATGTCTTTGGTTTGATGGTGAGCTGACACAAATGTCACTGTCAGAAGTATACGCAAATACATTAGAAATGATGTTTCAACGATCACTACAGAAAGAGAGAAGAAATGAGACCATACAATATCCATCAATAAATGAAAAGCCAGATACTAGAGTTCCTAAATGTCTGTCTAAATTGACAAATGTTGGAAAGCATGTATCTTTGCTGTATAGACTTGGTCGCCTTGCATTTGAAGCTCTGTTTATAGAAACAGAATCGAGTCTGATTTTCAAAAGTTCAGATTTAGAGAGATATGGTTTAACGGAAGATGTGGTTTCTTACCTATGTTCAGTTGGCGTCCTCTCAAAGAACAAAGCAATAGGTTTTCTAACAGAGAGGAAACACACACTGTCGTTTCCCCATAAACTGTATCAGGAGTTTATGGGTGCTTTGTACATTTCAATGAGCGTAAATAAAGAAGATGCAATACGCAAAACCATTGTAAAGGCTTGCAAGACATTGCAAGATCTTAAGAAGTTCTCTAATGTCTTCGTCTTTTTGGCTAGTTTGGCTCCCTCAGCCATTGAGACATTGTTCCACACGATGAATGTGTTTTTATCGAATGAAGTGTCGAATTACAGGGAATTTTCTTGCTCAGTAATGTTCAATTTCATTTCGCAGCGTCGCAAACAAGTAGAATATGATGTGCAAACCGTACAAGACCTAGCTGAGAAATGTTTTGAAGAGTGCAAGCGATCTGGCGGGGAAAGTATCAATATGAACTTAGAGGATGTATTCATTTATAAAAGAAATGCACCAATGATTTGGAAATTGCTTCGGTCAAACAAGAGAACCATAAAATCAATGTTTGCAGCCGGAATAACGGAAATAGAAATCACACCAGTGTTGTCGGGGCTGGTAAGACTTGAAGTAAGATTCATTAACTCAGGTTCAGAGTTTCAGCATTACAATCAATTAATTGAGTTATCCAAACGTACATTGAAAAATCTTTCTGTAAGTTACTGCCATCAAATTTCGGACATACCTTTCAATACGTGTGAGAACTTGACATCACTGTACTTCCATGACGTCAAAATCAGACATGGCCATCTTGTTGAACTAATAAGATTCGTCTCTGAAAAACATAACATGTCTCAAATTGGACTGGATTGTGTTGAATGTGAAGACGATGGTGATCAATGTATTCTTGGAAATCTTGACCTGCGGAATCACACGAGAATTTTCTTGTTAGGTATTGGTGGCATAAATATCAAAAACGTGTTGGTAAATGTTGAAGAGTTGTATAGGCTTAGGTTAAACCATAAAGAAAAAGGTGAGCTTGCTCGCTGGTCAAAACCTCTATTGGACGATTTGACCTGTGCACCAGTCTTGAAGAAATTTTTTGTCAGTAACATTACTGATGATGATATAATTGGAGCGTTGGTTAGAATGATTTCCTCACTACAGAAGCTCAAGTATCTATATATTTTAAAAATAAACTTTGGTGACCATAAACTTTCTGTAGATCCAGAGGGAGAAGATGTGGAAATTGAAATGTCCCATGTTACTCTGAGCAATGAATCATTTCGTTGTTTTATCCGCAGTATTGCAAACGCCCTGAAGGAGATAACCGTGAATTTATTGTTTTATGAGATACCAGGGGCGACTCGGGAAGAAATTGTTACATACATTAAGTCAATCCGGACCTTGCACGTAATTAGGAATACTGAATACAATATGAGATTCATTAAGAGATCTAATCCGATACAAGATCAAAGTCACCCATGATTGAAAAGGATGGGAATATTAAGAGTGCACTGTGTTTAAAACATATGCACGTTCCAATCAACAAGCTGCCACGCGTTATGATTCAACTTATCGAACTTATGCAGTAAGAGTATTCATTTTCAGTCAGAAGACGAAAGAGTTTCGATAGGGCGTGGGTACAAACCCCAGAAGAGGCAATTTTTTCAATATTTGTCGGTTTTCTTCCTTTTTGTTTTGTCACATTATGATTTTCTTTCCTAATTTATATCTAAAATTGTAATTAAAAAATGAAGTTGTATGTATATTTTTACTGTGAAATGTGTGAAATTGGATAGTATAACCAAATAAAATCATAATAATTTAAAATTAGCATGGTAATCTTTCTTTATATTTTGCAAAAAATGTTAAGAATAGTTTCTAGATAATCATTATTAAAATTATTTTGATGCCCCGATTACATTTATCTGATGGGTTTTCTTACCCCCATCCTCTTCTTATTTGATGTAATATGACTGGTACCTGTCTCAATAAACAAAACATTTTTTTTTCATTTATATTTCACATTGATTTACTTGTAGTTATTCAAAAACTATAAATCTTTATTTTCACTTTTCAAGTTAGGATAATATGAAATAAACTTTTCTACAGATAACGTTGTTGTTGCTGTTGTTCTTGTTTATGTATGAAACCGATACAGAAGTTGAATTTTAATTGTCAATATTTTTCAAACAAGATGGTAAACTTTTGTAATTTTTTGTATTTATGTCCTGAATATAGTCAAGGTTAATAATATAAAGTTTTCAACGCCTTTGGAAAAGTGTCAATAATACATCTAATACTTTAAAACAATAAATGAAGAATTGTTCAATATGAGTATTCCCTGGTGCAGCGTTAAGTGTTTTAATAAATGTCGTAAAACTTAAAATTAACAGCAATTTGTTTAATTTGAAGTTATTTGTCAAACTCAACATAGATTAAGACCCCCATAACAATTAAGGAATCAATCAATTTTAAAAAACATTTTCTCATATCTGGTAATTATAAGATTTTTGGCTGAAAATGTTTTAAAGAAAAAACAGATAAAATTTAGTTCTTTGCCCTGGGCTAGTAGTAAAATTTCCCACGAAAACCTCCCCATGGAATTTTTTTTTGTTTTTTAAGATGTATGGGTTCAAAGGGAAAAAATTTGATGCTCCCCAAATGGGAAAAGGTTTTTTAAACCTAAATTTTATATTTTTATTCTTCATCACAATTTTTTCGAATGATCATTCCCGAAATAATTTTTTAGAAAAAAGTTTAAAAATATATGCCCCTTAAATTGGTGGAGGGAAGGGTTTTTTTAGGTACAGTTAGGGGAGTTCGACTCAAAACCCTAAAACGTGTTTGTTTTATTGTTGGGAAAAGTAAAAAAGGCAAAACTTGCTTTCCCTTTAAAAGAAAATTTTTATGTCAAGAAATAGTACTAGTAGTTTAAAGTTAATGAGGAACAATTGTTCCGAGAGTCAATAACGAGTAATAGGCAAGTTGACTGATAACATCACAAGCACCTGCTACCGGAATTTGTTAGCAAAAAGAGCCAATATTTATATGCATTATATAGCAGCAGAATTTTTAAATTCTAATAACTTTTTTATTTGTGGATCGATTTTTTTAGATCTCTACATGTAAGTGGAATTTTATTTTTTGCTTTTAAAAAAAGAACACTTGGCTATTTTTCTAACTGTTATTTCCGTAGTTTTCTAGCACCAAGTTTAGCTCTTTACCGAGAAGAAAGAAAAAAGTTTTCAAAATTTATTTTTTGATAAACACTGTGATTTTAATGTGTAAAATATGAGTTTAAAGACTTTTATAATGATATAAAATATTAAGCTGTTTCATGAAATAAAATGTTATTATAAATATTAAATTACTATAAACTGCATTTTACCAGCCACCACCAGCAATTTGTTACTATTAATAGATTTCTTAACAATAACATGCAACTCTATATTTGAAACTAGACACGTTTTCGTCAATGGTCATTTCCTTATTGCCAAACCGGGCGAACAGTTTCCGTCTGTTATTAAAAATCCGCGCGTTTTCAGTTTATCATTTCAATGGCCGGAATAATATTGTAAATTCAAACGAACAAAAACTAAAAAGGAAAATCATAATTCGAGTGTTGTTCAATGACCAAAAAATGTTAGTTATTCACCGGCTCATCCATTAATTACTACTTAAAAGATATTTACCATTTAAAATATAATAAGTTATATGTAGCTTACACATTACATATATTGACATACATGAACAGACTCAATCAACCCGAGTCTGCAACATTGTCATTTTTTTCCATTTTTGGCGTTCTTAAGGTATTCTGTTTTTCTCTATTATAATATCACACAGTTGGTGAAAAGTCCTGAAATCCTCCAACAGGCCTCGTGTTGCAACACCAAAACAGCAAATTTAATAGACGATTTCCAGGTAAAGCACGTTCCTTTCATCATATGCATATATATATAAGATTTATTTACGTAAATGCATAGTTTTACTTGATGTCTACATCATCTTAATTTTCACCCGCTGAAACATTTTCTGTCTCAAAAACGAACACCTATGAAGTTTTTGACATTAAAATAGGGCTTGTTGTGTTCAAATGTAAACGAAAGTTGTAAAATGGTCCTATTCTGTAACAGGAACACACTCTGTGATGCTTTATTATTATGTGTCCTTCAGAGAGTTGTTTCCCCTGGACCAGGAAAGATTTCCCGCCACTTTGGTGGTTATGTACATTGTCCTCTTGTGTTTTTTTGGTTTTATTATTATTATTATTATTTATTATTATTATTATTATTATGATTATTATTATTATTATTTATTATTATTTATTATTATTATTATTTATTATTATTATTATTATTATTACTTTTATTATTATTATTGAGAATAAACATCACACTGGATAGGGTGAGAAGTGTGTGTTTGATGTAAACACTTTGCAAAAATGCGCTCATTACAGATACCTTACAAAATCATTTCTGCGCACACGTTATTTTCTATTTAGATTAAGGACTAGTCATTATTCCGGATGTTTTGTAAATCAATCAAATTTTCATAATTATACATATCGTATGCACTGTCCATGACAGAAGGGCCAGATATAAGTTTTTAAAAAAATGCTTTCACTGATGCCTACCTGGTACAGAAAGTAATTAAAATACAAACAAGACTTACAAGACAATATTAAAATCCACATGTTAATAAGCAATATGGACTTTATTTTCAAAATGTCCGTTACATGTTTCGCTCCAAATGGTATATCATGTTAAACAAGAAAGTCTTTGATGCAAAGCATCAAATGGCGTCCAAACAAGAAATGCAGCAAGTGACGATGAACTAGAAGACTTTTGATTGCCAGATATTCCTCTAAAACATTGTTCATCATGAACTTTGGTCGGCTTGCTAAAAATAAAAATATTAAATGTATTTTCTTTGGAACATACAAAAACATTAGTCAAATTGAACAAAGTCTGTTTTTATTATAATTGTAACAAATATACAAACATCATATAAAAATAAAAACAAAAGAGACTAATATTGTAACATAACAGGCATTTTTTCTATCAAATTAAGAAAAATGCTTTGTTTTGGTGCCTTGGTCTTAAAATACAGTAGCTTCATTTAAGTCTCAGATAAATACTGAAAGAAGAACACACTCACTGGAATAAAAAAGTTGGAATGAAGTTCTAAAAGACCAAGTTCAAGATTTGTTTTCTTATACGCGTTAACAAAAATAATGGTACAATATAAAATCATGATTAGAATAAATTTACATTTCATGTTGATAATATTATATTGAAACATTATTTATCAATGGAAGACTGTTACCTGTATTTTAGACAGGTATCATAGGGTATGAGGAAATTAACTAACATCATGTTCATGCGAGTCAAAGATATAAAAGCTTCTTGACACTAGTAATATATAAAGAGCTAATTGGGAGATGAATCTACTATTTTGTTGAATTGCTTCAAAATCCTCGTCTGACCCACCAGTGTGTTTACATTTTTTAGTGTAAAAAGTATTTACTTGTCTATACATACCTGTCATATAATTATGTAATTGATAACATTTATCTAATTTCATTTTTATTGTTGTTTTGCGTTTTGTTTGTTTTTTATATTGCTTTCTTTTGTTGTTTTTTTATATTATTTTTTCTGTACCACATTTAAATATTGAACCGTTCGTTTTGTGAATGATGTTATCTTGTCTCGTGTTTTGTTTGTTTGTTCTATTGCTTTATTTTTTTATTTTTTCTGTGCCACTTAAATATTGAACAGTTTTTTTTTTTGCAAATGATCAAATGATCTTATTTACATGTAAAGCCATGTAAAATAGGCCACAAAACTCATAAATAACTGTACAAGGCAATAATTGTCTGAATATAAATTTAAGGATGATAATTTTTTATCACTCTTTACCATGTTGTTAAACTTGTTATTTCTTGTTTTGATATTTGACTTATTATGCAAAATTTTATATAAAATTTCCGGACTCTTCATATTTGTTGAACTAATAAATATTGTCCTGTCTTTAAATTAAAAGTAATGATGCACCAGCCATTTTTGGTAAAGAGTTCAGTTGCATAAAAGCATAAAGTACTAAGTCTTTACATCTCTTTCAAATTCAAATTTAACAAAAAACAAAATATTTTTTTATCCATGCTTAACTCAATTACTTGTAATTATTTTGTTTTCATGTATATGATTTTCTTTGTAAATAATGCTAATTGTTTGTCTTTATGTGCTTGTCAAATTTTGTAAATGTTACTAATTGTCCCTTTTTGAATCAGTATTATTTCATACCATGCCTTTTGCTACAGACTTAATATAAAGTTTATAGAAAACAGTAATATTTATCGACACTAAAGAAAATACAATTCTCTATAATTTTCAAGACACATTTCCGTAGTAATCTTAATCATAAACGCTGCATCAACACTCTTATTATGACTACCATTGATTCATTTTTTATTCGATTTTTTTTTTAAAGTTCCCATTTTAAATGTAATGCCCCCCAAATATTTTTGTGAAGGGTTGACACAAAAACAATTTTATATTCGTTCTGGCTCAATACCTTATTAAAAGGTTTAAAAACCCCCAGCTATCGTTGATGCAGCAAATATACAATGTCACAGGGCGGAACCTGGGAACAATTTCAAGTAACCCTTGGGTATCAACACCCTTTTTAAAACCCGGATTTTTTACTTTCTCAATGGGTATCAAAAATTTACTTTGGCTGGAGATATTTATTCTAATCTGGGCCCTCTGCTTTAAAAAAACTCTTTGCAACCCCAAACCCCTCTTTTTTTGTATTTTTTTAGCTTTAAA